TGAATATGAATTTTGTTTGTGAGTGAACTTTATATAAATTTTATTGGTATAAAGTCAAAAGAAAGTCACTTACTCGACAAGGTTCGGGCCATAATTGTGTTATACGCAGAGAAGAAGAGAAGAACCAAAGTGATTAAGGACAATAAAACGTCACGATTCATCTTCTTTTTTGAGTATTTTGGTTTAAGATTAATCCGAGAGAGATAATGTTAAGTTCATGCTACAACATACTTATATAGATAAGTGGATTTGGTAAAGTGTGAAATATTATTTCTATATTAAAATTAATTAAGTTAGTTAAGACCACACTTTGGTCGGAAAAACTTTCGTTATTTTTACACATGTGATGATTAAACTCTCTCTTGCTTTTGTAAATTCCAACTATTCTCGAACCATCACACAATGACAATATTGTTTGAACAAAATTTAACCATTTTTTATTATAATAATTCTATGGATCGACAAAAAATACGTTTACTCATCCATAGTTTTTTATGATGATCGTCTAGTAAATTTGCTTTACCCAACTAATACGACTTTTGTTTTTAACTCCAATAACTTTATAGTTCATGAACAAGAGTCAACTAATTTTGTTTAACTATTTACAAAGTTGTAATTAAGCCACTATTTTTGTTTTCTCATTGATATGTTACCTTACCATTAACCACCAATTTTACCAAAAAACAAACAAAATTGAGCAAGTGAACTTAGTTGATAACACAAATACAGAAACGACTTAGAGAATTCCGCAAAAAGATTTGTTCAAAAACCAAAAAAACAAAACACATACTGATAAGACTTTTGTTTTTCCAAAAGATTGCAACATTCAACCAAATCCGAGAAACTTATGTACAGAAAAGAAACCGCTTTAGGTTTTTACCGATGTTTCATGACCATATCAAAGCTTCTTGTTTGCTCAGGGAACATGTTTCAGCTGCTAGAACCCGTCGATGGATTGTTATCTTGTGACGACGAGAACAAGCTGCTAAACGGCCATGGGATCAAGAAACCGCTCCTATCACCATCCTCGTCCTCCTCG